TGCAAAAGTCGTACCTCTCTCCCTCTATTGTTTACATCTGACTCGTGGCGGAGCGGAGGTGATGTAACATCATAGAAAACGTGTCACCAGAGACAATTTATACGATCTTTGGGGTCACATAACCCACGTCGCCAAAAAATTAAAATAAATAAATAACCTATGTCGCCCTGAAACACAAAAATAGTAACGCACAGTGTATTAGATAAGTAACTTAAATCTGACTACTGGTTTGGAAATAACACTGCGTTAGCCACTCGTTACTGAAAAAAGTAGTCAGGCTACAGTAACGAGTTACTAAGTAGCGCATTAGTGGCATCACTGCCCACTAGGAAGTGAGCATGGACGCACTTCCGGCTCCATCAACCCCGGTTCCAAATCACTTTGTATTGAAAATTGTCACCCCTCTCTCTGTAACTGCTGCTGTGAGCGTCATGATTTTGGTCTTAAAATGTTCGTATTAACCCACTCTACATGATCCTGGTGTTTTGATTTAGCTATTTTGTCCTTAAATCAAGTCCAGTTGCTAAAATGGAACTCCAAATTCACTGTTAGGATAAATAACTAGGCTTAGCTATTTTGTATAATCACTTGTATAATTCATTATTGTACCGAGATCATGTGAAGATAAGGGCTTTGATCACAGCTGGGAGACTCATAGATATATGTCTGGGAAAATGCATGATATTCCAATCTATCTAACAGTAAAATAACTAAATAGGACAAGGACTTATTAATAGGGATGTGCTGACTCAGGACTCGTCACCCTGATCATACCAGCAAGATGCTCCAGTATTGAGAGTAAGATACAACACCCCCGAAGGATGCTCATCGCAGTCTGATAAGACTGTGCAACGTGCCAAGAGGCCTGGCTGGCATGTGCACCAATGAAGAGGCACTAAGTTTAAAGCACGGTAGCCTCCCGCTATAGTTTGTAGATAAAAGTCATTGTATTAAGGTTTTGTATCTACGTCACAAAACCACGTGACCTGGTGTTGATGTCGCCATATTTGAGGTCAAACTATCCACCTGGACCAACGTGTAGTATTTGTGTGTGATAACATTTGAACTGAATAACAATGGTTTTGATCTGTGTTGCTGTTGGATGTTCTGGCCGGAGTCAGTCTGCTAAAGAAGGAGGCCAGAGTATCTTTCTATCAGATCCCGGCTGATAAAGATCACAGACAGAGGTAGAGAGCGACATAAAAAGAGAGGGATGGAGCCCACTGAGTACAGTCATCTGTGCAGTCAACATTTTATTTCTGATGAGGGACCAGCTCCACACAAACGAAGAAGGGATTTACACTAAATGAAATGATAGATACCAAAAGTATTTTTCTCGCCGGTGAATTGACACGGAATCCAGATAGGAGCCATTCTCTCACAGTCAGAGGTTGAACTGATTTCCATCAGCATATTACCATTTTTTTGGCAGCTGTAAAACCTGCTAGTAATATGCGACGATCGTTAATTGTCAGATTTAGTTTGGACATGTCGTTTAGCAAAAGAAACCTCTGAGTGCAAGGTGTGGTTATTCCTATTAATTTAGACATTGTCTTTGTGACGTTTTCCCAAAATTGTGCCACCTCCGGGGACTCCCATATCATATGTACATAAGTGCCCACAGTTTGTTCTATGCAAAAATGGCAGTATGGATTGTCTTTTATTTTCATTTGGTGTAATCTTCTAGGACCTTTATACCTTTCTAAAGACGGCTGATCTAACGAGCTGGTGATTTCTGACACTTTTATGTCATTTGTGCTGTTTAAAGTCTCCATGATTATATTGAAATAAACTGAATAATCCCAGTCTAGTCCAGAATAATCCCAGCCCAGTATGGCTGCCAAAACATTAAATCATGTGACTGCCACGACACATGCAAAACCATAATAGGTGTAAACACTGATTCTGTGCATGGGAATGTCAGCACAGAGTCCTTTGTATAAGTAACACTCTCTAATATTTGAATAAGTAAATTATCTGGACTTTATTTCTGTTTCAAGTATATTCTTTATCCAAGCAGAAACTAATGAACGTGAGAGGAAATGACTGTTTTCCTCAACATCACCCCTACAACTGCAGCCTCGGTGAGCTTCATTTGACTGAGTGGGTGACGTCACACACTCACTTTCAGTCCATTTCTGTGCTTCAGTCGTACCGTCTTCTATCAGGATTGAACTGAAGCTTGAACGTGGTTATTTTAGTCTTGCTTTAAAAGGACATCCTCTGTAAACATTCGCTGGTTAAAACAAGCTTTGAGGGAAGTTCTCAAGGAATTCCTCAACATCCTTTCAGCAGCCTTTGTTTTGGTCTATTAATATTCCGTGAAAGTAGCACAACAGAAAGCTCAGCGCCGGACAAACCGAGCAGCAGACAGCACTAGTGATGGGACTTTCGGCTCGTTTAAGTGATCCGAATCTTTTGGATCGGTTCATTTCGAAGAGCCGTTCAAAAGACTGGCTCTTTTTTATATTGATTTATATTGATTTCATGACTTAAGCCAATGTTAGAACGCATTTTATCGACAAACTAATCACAGAAAGAAGTGACCAAGGCACAGATGGTTCAAACTGAGAGTGGGAGTATGTTACCGTTTGGAATTATACATAACCTTAATAAAAACAAAGCTACACTATAATAATAATCACTTAATTTTAAAAACATCTTATCACTAGACAGAACAAACCAAGTACTGAACAAGTCAGATTTTTTGAACAGTTCTTTAACGTGAACTATAGGAACCAGATCAAATTTTTTTTAAAGGGACCAGGAAAACATACCAGCTTATGATGTCATGTAGTAACACAGAAAGTGCTCCTCTGTGTTTTTAAACTCCGTACAGCTTCACTAGAATCATTTGGATAATTTCAGCCCTGGAATTGACAATGTCTAGATAAATGGAAGCTGTCAAATTGAAAACTGCATCTACAATGACATGACATTGCAAGGTGAAGTTTAAGCATTTTGAGGTTTGGACATGTAAACAGACTAATAATAAAGGGTTACTCAAACATATTAAAACGAAACAAATCACAACTCCCCCAGGTAAGTTTTTGATACAAACGTAACATTTTAACATAGCTTAAAGCTTACAAAAATCAATTTGTGTACTAGGGTGACCACAATTTCAAAATCAAAATCTGGGACACTCTCGGTTCGGGGTGGTTGGTAATAATAAAATTGTGAAACGAGTGTGTAATTCAGGAAAACTGTTATGCACCCGGTGAGTCAGTATAATCACATTTTCTTTGTGTATTGGTCATTTTTAAGCAGCTTTTCTGTATTTTACCGAAACAAATAACAATTAATGCTTCTCATTACTGCTGGTACGTATCAAATTGGTCAAAATAGGGACACCTAGGACATTTCTTGTATACAGTTCCCACTCAGAAATTCTAAACTTTTCCATGACTTTTTCATGACCTAAAGTGGATTTTCCATGACTTTACAGCACCTGCATGTGTGGAATTGATTATAGTTTTATCGCTAAATATGAAATGTTAACACTTTCCACTCACATCATGGTTTAGTTTTTTAACATTCAAAATCCTGCCAGTGCATTTGTTGTCGTCTCTATTCAACAAAAGGTGCATACGATCGGAAATAATCATAATAGTCTAATGATAAGAGAACGCTGTAGTTTGGGTAAAAGAGATACTAAAATTCCATGACTTTTCCAAAACTTTCACTAAATTTACAAAATTCCATGACTTTTCCAGGCCTGGAAAACTACATTTTTTTCAATTTCCATGACTTTTCCAGCATTTCCATGACTATGGGAACCCTGGGGTCTGTACAGTCACATTTTCTTTGTGTTTTGGTCATTTTTAAGCATTTTTCTGTATTTTAATAAAACAAATGATTATTATTATTATTATTAAATTTATGCTTCTCTTTAATGTTGACCAGTATCAAATTGGTCGAAATACATTTTTTGTACACAGTTTCCACTCTTTTTCACTAACAAAAATTCTAAAATTTTCCATCACTATTTCAAGACCTAAAGTGAATTTTCCATGACTTTATGGCACCTATATGTGTGGAATTTATCAGAGTTTTAGGGCTAAATATGAAATCTTAACACTTTCCACTCACCTTATAGTTTAGTTTTTTAACATTCAAAATACTGTCAGTGTATTTATTGTCGTCTCTATTAAACAAAACGCGCATATGTTCAGAAATAATCATAATAGCCGACTAATAACAGAATGCTGTAGAGTGAAACAGATACTAAAATTCCATGACTTTTCCAAAACTTTTACTGAAATTACAAAATTCCATGGCTTTTCCAGGATTTCCATAACTATCAGAACCCTGGGGTCTGTGCAGTCAGATTTTCTTTGTGTTTTGGTCATTTTTAAGCAGTTTTTCTGTATTTTACCAAAACAAATAACAAATTATGCTTCTCTTTACTCTTGACCAGAATCAAATTGGTCAAAAATAGAAATACCTGGGACATTTCTTGTATAAAACTGGGACAAATCAGTGGTTTTGTATAAATCTGTCTTTTATCAGACAAAACATCTTATGTTACAATATCCTCATCTTTGCTTCTCTACAGCAAATCAAGTAATCCAAAGTATTCAGATTACGTTACTCAGTTTAAGTAATTTAATGGATTACGTTACAAACTACATTTTGGTGTATGTAATCTGTAATCTGTAGGGGAATACATTTTAAAAGTCACCTTCCCACACTGGGTATATGTGGGTGTATATTGGTTTGCCAAAATGTTCCTTGAGAGATAAAGAAATTCTTCAGGGAGTGCATTACACAAACGCATGAAGTCCAAATATGAGGGATTAAAATCATGTTTTGCACAGAATTGGTTGTAATTTAGTAAATTGCCACTTTCACGGCGCGCGGAGCCTCTCTCGTCTTCCTGCGCGCTGGTGACGTCACGGCGCGGCTGGGTCACGCGAAGGTCAGCCGCAGCGAAGACGGTTCACGGAGAGTTCACGCATGGCGCCCGCATTAGGTAACTCCGCTCCCTGCCCGATCCGTACCCGCAGTCTGAAACCGAGCAGGACACCGAGACGCACCGCTGGGTCAATGAACAACTTACCAGAACAAGTCAAGAACAAGCCCAGGAATATATTTAAGTCTGTTTTTGTGTAGAAATATTTAACATTTTAACGATAAACGGGGGGATACAAGTTGTGCTAGCTGGTGCGTACACGCCCCTTCGCTCTGTGTTATGTCTGTGTAATGTCTATGTATTGTGTACGCGCTTGCTGGATGTCCACAGTTGCGTAGCGGGACCTGCAGCGGTTGGTTGGTTGGTTGTCCCGGGACCCTCCACCATGTTCGACTACCTGGAGTGGGACGCCTTCGGACCGTCCGCGGAGCTCCTGGACCTGTACACCGCCAGCTCCAGCCCGAACCCCGGACCCGAGGAGCAGGAGCAGGAGCAGGGGCAGCCCGATTTGGCGGCGTTTTTCCCGGAGCTGCTGGAGGCGGAGTGGCGCGGGCACCGATGTTCACAATGTAGGTCCACACTGCAAATAGAAGTTCTGTTTTATTATTATTTTGTGTTCTGGAGTTTATTTTAGCACTGATTTTCTTTGGTTTAGTTTAGATCTAGCGTGCGTTTACATTAATCTGCTCTGGTTCAGGTTGGAGCGCAGTTAATCCTGGTGTACACTTGTTTTGGTACTGTTCTGGTCTAGTACTGTTTTATTCCTTATTTTTATGTACTATGTGTGCAAGAATGAATGCACCCCAAGTTTTGACCTATTTTAGGCCATATAGATAAAGTTGCACCTGGGTTAGTTGTAGTTTTAGTCCCAGTTTATTCATTATATTTATGTGTGCATGCAAGAAGGAATGCACCCCTAGTTTTGACCTGGTTTACGCTTTGTATGTATAATTTAAATCTTATACTTGGATAATTTTTGTGGTTTAGTCCTGGTTTACAATTGGTTAATTCTGATAAATGTCAGGATTTCTAGTTTTAGTTTAGTTCTTCTGTAGTTTAGACCTGGTTTAGTCCCTGTATTTATGTGTACAAAACTGAATGCAACCCTATTTTTGACCTTGTTTAGGCCTTATATAGATAAACTCGCACCATAAATCTGGGTTAGTTCTTTGGTTTAGTCCTGGTTTAGAACTGATTAATTCTGACAAAAGTCCAGGTTTAGTCCTTCTGTTCTTTAGTCCTGGTTTAGTTCTATTTTGTTGCTGGTTTAAATATTGTTATTCTGGTTTAGTACTAAATACAGATCAGGTTTACACATTTGTTCGTGTCATTATCCAATCCACTTTATTTCTATAGCACATTTCACAAACAGTTTCTAAAGTGTTGCACAACTACATAATAATAACAACAATTATAAGATGATAAAATAAACTACTAAAATAATACTAGTCTTAAAATAATAAAACCAGTAAAACAAAATAAAAACAAAATCATAGAATAGAAATAAATAAGCCAATAAATAAGTTAAATCAGTTATCAGACCAAAATGTAGACCAAATGTAGTCCAAGTTTAGACCACTTTCATTTTTGGTTAATTCCTGCTGATTTAAAACAAGCTTAGCCTTCGACTTAAACTTTATTGATCCACAAGGGAAATTACATAGACACTTCACATTACAATATATTAAAATAACAAAGAGTTAAACTGTAAATGATAATAATAAATTAGCAACAAAAGAGAGAGATTGATGTCAAATAAGGCATACTTGTATAAATGTATATGTACAAGTAAAAATAAAATAGAAAATAAGTAATAAAAATATCTCAGCTATATATAAGAGGTCGTATATAGCTGAAATATACTGATTTAAGTTTGTACCACCCAGTAAATTGAACATAAGCATCTATAAAATGTGTTTTTGGAGTGCCTGGCTGGTTTTATTTTGAATTATAGGTCTATTGGCTTAAGTGAAGACTGGTAAAATGTAATATTGATGTTGCAGTATTTCTGCTTTGCAACAGTCATAAACTCAAGTGTCCTCTTCACTTGATCCAATTAGGAGTAAGAGCTCTGAAAATAACATCAGGTAAGCTATGCAATTAGTGTCTCAAGGATGTGACACAGGAAACATCCAAACAAGTACATGTTCATATTACTGTAAGTTTAAGTTCATGTATATTTTGTCATGCAGGCTACTGTGAAAAGAGAGGAACTTGAAATACCAATGTCAGTACCATGAATTTAGAGTTTGGTAAAAAGAGAATACATTTTGTCTATGGGAAAAAAGTAAAGTAGAACTGCTAATGTGTGAATAATTGATGAATTAATTGGACAATATTTTGGACTTCTCCTGTATCTTCTGTTAAAAGTAAGTGACCACATGATCAAAGAAGCTAGACTATTATTTTGTGATAAAAACAAAACAAAAAACCCTTGTCAAATCTTGTATTGAGTATTTAGCCTTTTTTTCAGGATCAAAATGAAGTTAAAAATGTTTGTATCTTGTCAATACAACTTTCTAATTAAAGCCCAACTTTTTTAGCCATAAAAGCATGTTTTCTCTTTTCATTTTGGTTGTGTTTATTGCATTGAAGAACGTAGAAAACATTTTAGCGGGCTTGTATCTCCACAAACTGTGCTCTTTTTTTGGCCTGGAGGAGGGCCACTTCCTGCTTGTTTCTATTGCTGTTCTTTGGCTATAATCTTCCACAGTCTGGCATAAAACATATATCTATGGAGAATGTTCAGAACTATGACTTAAACTTTCAATTTTGATGGAATCATGTCATGCCACCTCCAGAAATTACATACTGTGACTTTAAACAATACCTGGTTAAATTTAAATTGTCTGGAACTCACTAGTAATTTTATAAAGGTGTCTCAATACCCTTTAGTAAAAAAAAAAATATATTAGTTTTTTTTTTACTACTTTAAAAATATTTATATATTTTATTAAAGAAAATTGAATATTACATTAAATAAAATCCAATGATAAACATGAAAACAAGACACAAAAACATAAAACAATGCCTAAAACAACCATAAAACAACAAAGCTCCCCATCCCTAACCCACCCTTCCCCCCAAATTTAAGTAAATTTAAAAAAAAATAAAGGTTAAATTTACCTAAATAAAAATAAAAGTCATGTGGTACTGCAGCATAACCATACAGCTAGGCCCCTTTATATTTATATTTTGGCCTATTTATCACTTTTAGTTATTTTACTAAACTAATGGAGTAAGTAAACAGCAGTTTCTTTCCCTCTTTCTTTTCATTCCTTTTTTTTTCTCATTTCAATAGTTAAAAAAAAGAAAGTCTAAAGAAATCTCTACATACCAGACACATCTACTTCTGACCCGTTCTTACTAAACATTATTTCCTGTTATAATTCCAGTATTTAGTGTGGCATTAAAGTGCATTGCTCTCTCTGTAGTTTTGTAGTTGTTGGCCCATGGTAATGATTGAGCAGTGGCCACAGTGGGCAGAATAGAGTTTGACACAGTTCTCTTGTTAACGTGGCTTTTGTTGCTATGGCGATGCTAAAGAATGACAACAATGTGATGTGGGTTAAGCTCCTCCACGGCACTGACTCTGGACCATAAAGTTCATAAGCAGGGCTGCAGGATTAATCGCAAACGAAATCATAATCTGAATTAGGAAATCAAAGGCTGCAATTTTTATAGTACAATAATTTCCTCTGCAAACGATAAAATCTCCTCTTATTCTGAATAAAAACTGCTCACCCTGATCACCCTGATCCGCATGTCCTATGTGGTTGTCAGATTTCAGTCTTTTTGTTTTCTGGATGCGTTTAAATTAGAGATCAACCAATACGGGCTTTTTCATGGCCAGTGCCAATTAGAATACAGAGAAACCAATGGCCAATAAATTCTGAAGATATTTATGGCTTTTTATGGATTATTTTCCCTAAATTACATAATTGGGTGATGAAGTTTTTGTCAACCAATATTTTTTAGTTGATTAATATAAAGTTTTATGGACAACAGTGGAAAGGAGATGTGTGTTTTGTGGTATTGCTTTCCTCTGCTATATCCACCACCGCAATGTTTTAAAAAATATATGATTTGAATGTATTTATTATTTATTTTTATTTGACAGGGACATTTGAGTCATGCATAGTCACAGGCAGAGCATGCAGCTGATGCGATGCATGTAGAGCGTGTAACTAGAGCTAAATCTCAGCTCCTCTTCCTGTTTGGGCTTCTCCTACACTTAATGGTTGGTTCCTTCACCATCCTGTCTGTCAGTCTATATCTGAAGCCCCAGAGAATCTTGCTGGGTCATTCTTCACTACCTTTAAATGTTTGGAGGTGTTTCCCACTTTGACCTTGGGGTCTCCGGTCCGTACTCTGCACAGATGTTTCTGTACACTATGGCGCCTCTTGGTTTTTCCTCTCCATTTATGCTTTCCCTGCAGCTTTTTACACCCTGTGATTATGGCTGGACTGTCTCAGGGACTTCTTCTGTCTTTGTCGTTGTCATTGTTCGATTTAGCAGTTTTCCAATTTTTGAGATCTGTTTGATCAGATTTTCTCTTGGAATTTAAACAGTTTTAGTGATAAATACATAGTCTGTAAAAGTATGTAGTTAAACTGATCGAGATGTAACAATATCCAATTCTCTCGATACGATATGCAGCTCACGGTACAATATTTATTCCAATATTTTATGTAGGTTAACAAAACTGTGAATATGCTCCCTTTGTCTCATCATAATCCAAATAATTAAGATTTAAAAGTGCTTAATAACTGTTATTTCAACATGTGGATTGGACTGAAACAGCACAAATATCATGGTCGATGTAGTTCCCTGTTTTTTTAGCTGTTGCTGCACCATAACAATGAATTTAAGCAAATTGATTTATTCGATATATTGTGATGGATATTATATTGTTAGACTTTTGACGATACGATATCACGATATTTGGGTTATTGCTACGTCCCTAGTAATAAACATTACAAAAAAGAGCAGACTGGAGTAAAGTCTTCATGGATAAAACGGCGAACTTCAAACATTATGGTCACATTCATTGTTTTAGTTTCTATTGAAATTTAGTGAAAATTGTCAACCTTTGTTGTGAATACATTTAAGCTGAGCAATATCTATGGCTACAGGAGATAGAACACAGAATAATGTAAAAAATAAAATAAAATCTGTGTAAAAAAGTGCAGTTGGTAAAATTTTAAAGGTGTCAAGTCGGATAATGACAGTAGATCTGGGCGTGTACTTATGGATTTATCTTGGACAGTGGCTCTCACACTCAGTCCTCCTTCCTTATGGCTTGTGTACTGGAGCTCCAAGATTCATCACAATCAAATCAAATGCATACATGTTCTGAAATGTTCTTGTATTCGTTTGTCAGTGCGTATTTGAGTCTTTTTGTCAATAGTTCTTTTTAACAGATTTCTATTAAAACAATAATCTAAATTGCAACCACATGATTCCTGCTGGGTATCAGATACTGTCAGGGTGGAGCTGTTTATTGTCCAAGTCTTGTTCTTGCATTGAGCTGACTTCAGGACTGCTTTCCTTGTCTTCTCTTTTACT